TTTCGGTCTATTTTCTAGCTACTATAAATAGTATTAAAACTCTGAGTAGTCAGGTGGCAAACAGTGAATGGTGACTTGCAAACTGGGGATCGCAACGACGGTGGAAACTTAACTTCGTTCGACTCTCTTTTATACCGTACCTCTTTATATGAGTCTGTCTTCTCTAGTATGCGCAGGTCTTTGTAGTGCTGCATGCCTCGAGTGTTTACTTGACCCTGTTCTATGCCGCCACCCACAGCTCCAGCGGCACCATCCATTACAGAAGCGTCGCCAACCAGTCTGCGTGTTTCGTGGCCAAGACCATTGGACGATACAAATGGAACTTTTGTCTACAGAGCAACTGCTGTAGCCACTAAACTGATGATGCCCCATATCAAGGACAGCTGCAAGACTAGCTCCAACGACAGCATTCTCTCCTGTGCGATATCAGGCCTGCTTCCAGACACGACTTATACCGTAACCGTTATCGGGTGTTCTCACAAACTCTGCAGCAGCTCCTCAGCACCCACGGAAGTTCGAACACTGCCAGGAGGTAAGATCATACAAAATACCACACATACAATAACCCTAAGGACTACCAGCAAAACAAATCCTGATTATGGCTTGCAAGTGCATTAAACTTAACCAACGCAATCGGAGTAACAGAATCGAGGTCAGAGCCTTTTTACAGGAAGGCCAAAACTTTGTAATATAACCTCAGAACTACTTTCTGATCGCTCAATGGCATCATGTCGATTGTTTTTTAAGGTGGTCCAGAGCTGATGGATGGTAAATTCTAATCTCAATTCAAGCGGAAAACGCCCATACATATTTTGACCTCTCTCACCCTCAAGTAGCTTAAAGCTAATCCGAAAGCCCGCTTCATTAAGCCCTTAATTGGGCTCATGTTGTGGCACTTGGTTCAGAATTTAATCCGGGGCTTTTTCATGTTTACCGTTCGTCCAAGATCATGTTGAGTGCAGAAATGGTAAATGGCGTGTTAATTAGTTTAAAATGATAATGGACTTGCGCGGCATCTAGAGCACTCTTTCTCCAATCACCCATCTGGCTCCGTTACCGGCAAAGGAAGTGGCGGGGAGTTTGAATAGGCTAAACTTACTGCCATGGAGGAGACAGACTGTTTTAGAGTCGTCAAAGGCAATGTCTATTACCCTTAACTATACTGAACTGTACGAACCTCTCAATCATGTTCCATCCTCCTCTCCCTTTCAGAAACTAACCACCTGATGCTTTCAAACATCACTGCAACTACGGCTACGATAACTCTGCCCAAGAGAGCCGACGTAAATAATTACACATACACGGCTGTTGTCAGGCCAGACAATAGTAGCGTGGGATTTTCTAACACCACTACCAAATGTATTCTACTTGCTTCCGATGACGGTTCTATGACTTGCACCGTATCTAACCTCACATCGGATACGGAGTACGTGGTCACTTTGGAGGTCTGTCGCGCGGTCAGCTTCTGCAATCTTTCCGCCTACCCACTCGACTTCAGTACACTGCCCTCTGGTAACTAACCTGTCAAAAGTTTATGCACAACGGTAGTATGCTTGAATTGATAATTTATAATCTCAAATTCATGTATGAACCCAGCGTTACCTCGGCGTGGCATGTGGCATAGACGAATCAAGGTTGCCTCACTTTTATACGCCAGCTTGGAAGAGCGCTTAAGAGATCTCCCGATCAACATTGCATTGGGTACGATGCCTCCTGATATCCGATTGCCGAAGCTCAAATTTTATTCGTCGGTGCCACTTTATCCGAAGATACTGTCATTCGCTGGGCGACTGGCTGTGTGATGTGTCTAGGTTTATTCCAAAAAGCTAAAGTATGCGCGCGCCTGGAACATGGTCTGTGAGCGTCCATGCACCGCGAAACACATGCTCTGGTCCGCAGTGCGTGTACCTTGATTATGAAATACCATTTTAGGTCTCAGGCGTGTTAGATTCTCATAGCGGCTATCGAAAAAAGCAGTTAGTGTAGTCTGGCTCTCGATAAAACAAACGAAGCGGTTATCGCGTGACGTGATAGCCCTTAGAGCCACGACGTTTTCCGAGTCCTGATATATTAAAGTATTTGAATATTGGCATCCCAAGCGATATATTTTATGAGAAATTAAGTCCTTTGGGAAGAGCAATGTTTATTACTTGAATTTTCGAATCTGGTTCCTTAGTTCGTCTTCAGACGGATGAGATATGTATAAAACAGTTAACTTAAACCGATGACTAACACAGGATTATATAGTTCGTCAGAATGTGAATAGATATTTATCATTTGCATTTGGTCGTAAGGGCAGTGGATAAATTGTTATCACTTGTATGTTGTTATGCGGTCCGAGGGAGGGGGAGGAAAGAAATAGTTGTCATCTGTATTTGATCGTGTGGTAGGTGGTGGCTGCTTTTGATTCCATCTGATGTTCAGTGATTTGTAATCACATCAAGATCGATATGCCTGTTAATGCATGCGTCATCTGAGTGCATTGCCTGTAGGAATTCGCGACCCTTCTTAGATGGGCAGGTTCCAACGATTTACGTTTGCTCCCATGCAAACTTGTGTTCTGTGCCGATTGTATGCTTGGCAACCACTGAATGGCTATCTAGTCTCCCCACCGCTAACTGGTTTTCATGGATGCGGGTGGATAGAGCTTTTCCGGTTTGGCCGCAATATACTGCATCACAACTGAAACAGGAAATTTTGTACACAACTTCTTTTCGGTCGAAGTGCGCAACCCTGCCTTAGGGTGTACGAGTTGGGTGCGCAGTGTACTTGCTGGCTTGTGCGCGACCTGTATTTAGTGTTTTTGTAGCTGTCTTTCGACGAGCTTGGATATATTCCGAGTTAAGTTAAATGTTTTTGTACATATCTCAACCGTCTGAAGACAAACTGGGGAACCAGATTCGAAAATTCACGTAATAAACATAACTCTTCCCAAAGGACTTCATTGCTCATAAAATGTTAAAGTATTTCAGATTTATCAGAATGTGCTCATCAGTAGGTGCCATAACGCGAAGGTCTAGGCTGGGACAATCGGCACTAGCTCAAGGAGAAGTGTCAACAAAAATTAGAATACAGAAAGCATTAACAACGTGGTCACGCTGTTCCGTTTTGGTAACTTAGGTGGTAATGCCTCGTGTGCAAACTGAAGAAAGCTGACCTCGTAGCCACCCTCTAGACAGCTGAGGTGGTCCGCAAGGTAGCAGGAGGAGTAAGCGGCTGTCGCAGCCTAAAGGGTCAACTCTTGTCTAGTGAGGATGTTCAGTATCGGTGCCGGAACATATGGTGACTACTCGTTTCCTCTTTCCTACGATACTGCTTGCTTCACAGCTCAAACGGGAGTCTTGGCATCCAAGTGGACAGCGACTGATATCAGCGTCTTCTGGAGCCCTTTTAAGGAAGATAACTTCGCCTAAATTTACCAGTATACAGTCGCAGCACAGTATTTCAAATTGGTTGCCGCAATATGTGTGTAGTCGTCTCGAAACAAAGCCCAGTGTGCAGTTGCAACCGGAAAAAAACTGCAGCATCACGGTCGCGGCTTGGGTAGCAGTGGGCGTATGCAAAATTTCCTCCGTTCCCAGTATCGAGAAGACAGAATTTGTGTTTTTGAACAGGTCTGCACTTACGGTCTACCTCTGCATTCATCAGAGGTTGACACCCTTGATAGCAAAACTGATGCATTATGTGCCCATCGGCCGCGCATGTCTAGCCTCAGTTGATGGGGCGCATTGCGACTGGCCTTAGGTAGCAAACCCAATTTCGAAAAAAGCAGCAACTTCAACACTACCTCCTGCTTG